CAGGGGAAGCCCTATATAGGCTACCAACGCCCTGCAATTTGACTCCGAGCGCTCTGCTTTAAGCCAAGCAATAAGAGTGCTCTGACAGGTAAATGAAGAGACTGATTGGTTGACTTGGAATCCAACCAGAGTGCTCGGAGTCATTTTACACAGCGTGGGAAAATTCCAAAGAACATTCTAAAAGGAATGGAATAGTATGGCTGAAAAGTAAAAAACACAGTACATTGCAAAATACAAGGGGAAACACATATTTAACAAGCGAACATCATCACAGTATACATTGGGGAAACAAAAAAAAAAACATCTGAAAACACTTTTTGCACCCCCTCACTATTTTTAGGGTGAGGGGATAGGTAGTGTTTAATTTTATTGGGGAGGGGGGTGGCTAGGGATTTGGGGACCCCTAGACATTTGGGGGTGGTATTTTTTATATAGGGAGACAATTGGTCTCCCATTGATACTTAGGGCCCCCACCTGTCGCTCATGGGTGGGGACCGGGTGGAGACAATCGGTCCCCCCCATTTGTTACTTTTGACCCACATCCACCGCTCATGGGTGGGGATCTGGGGGGGACATTAGATCCTTCCCATTATTTATTTAATTAAGGTTCCCACCCGACGGTCATGGGTGGGGGCCTGGGGGGGACACTAGGTCTTCCGGTTTATATTAATAACCCCCACACATGGGTCACGGGTGGGGATGCAGGGGGGCACAATGTCCCCCCTATTTTATTTAGGTTTCCCACCATGAGATATGGGGGAACCAAAATGTTCTCACAGTAAAGTGAGAGCAAGGTCCCTGATACTAAATCAGTATCTTATAGAGAAGTGATAGAGAGCTAAGGTAAGAGTATGTGTAACCAATAGTTATAGAAAAAATAATAACAATGTTGCAATATGAAAAAGTAGCTATTTAGATCAGTAACACAGCCTTGTAGGGTTTTACGGACGAAATTCGTAATGGACAAATACAATTTTTATTTAATAAGAATGTATTCATACGGAACGAAAATTTCACTAGTGCACGGGTCTAGTCTGGGCCAACTCTGCCTAGTCTGTCCAAGATTTATAAGCTTACTTCAATTTAGAGCTCCTGTTCTGACATCTGAGAAGTAGGGCTAAACCATTAGTGATGCTGTCATGGGTTAACCAGGATAATACATTCTCCAAGTAAACCAAATTAAGATACAACTCTGTAATTCACAAAAAGTAAAATTACACATGCAACTGTAAAATAGAAATACAGCAATAATACATAACTACAAATTGAACAAGGAGCAATATATCATAAGATATACAAATAAGTCAATCAGAATCATTTTGATATTCATTACTGTTTTTGTACCATTTAGTGATATAAAAAGGATATATAATGGATTTAATTTAGATATGGTGTGCTTGGATAATTTATTTTGATACTGTTAACTTAGGAGTCTGGGTGGCTCTCCTTCTTTCTTCTTAATCTGTGAATCTTGTGTGGCACCTATGTTCTAATATATGTTTTAAATTTCTCTAATATGTATTGAAATAGTAAATATCATTCTGTAAAGTCGTATCCCGAATGTATGGTACCTGTATACTATGATGTGTTTTAGAATTCCCCAAATTAATATATATTGAAATAGTTCATATCACTGTGTTAAGTGTTATCCTAAATGCATTCTGTGTCTGTGCTCTTGGGTAATCTAGTGTGACACCCTCTTCCCAGCACCAAACAATCTTAATTATATACAGGAAAAAGTACACTGGATGCATGATAATTAAATAAAATATTCTAACTGCATCAGAGCAAGAGCCTAATTATGAGTTCTGGGGCAAGAATGAATGGTTCAGCAAAAAATAAGCATAAATATTAGCTTAAAGACATATTTTAGACTTTTCTGTTTATTAGTTAACTTACCTATGCTTGTCACATAATGTATGGTAGAGAATAGAGTTGAGCAAACCAGGACTGTAAAGTTCGGGTTCGTACCGAACATTAAGTTTTTTTGGACCCCGAACCCGAACACGGACATATCACTGTGTGTCCGGCGATTTAATGGCGAGTTTTGAAAGGTTGCAGGGCAGCCAATCAACAAGCGTCTGACTCGTGTGCCCTTAGAAGCCATCACAGCCATGCCTACTAATGGCATGACTGTAATTGGCCAGTGCAGCATGTGACCCAGCTTCTATATATAAGCTAGAGTCGCATAGCACCGCACACACATGAGCTCTTAGTGTAGGGAGAGGATGCTGCCACTTTCAGGGACAGATTAGGAAATAATTCTGCAAACTAGTACATTAGTGGGGTGCACTTCATATCTGAGAGTCAAATAGAAGCGTCAAATACTGAAGTTACAGCGCAGTTGGAAAAATTCTTATTTTCTGGGTGCTAATCTGCTAAATAGTACATTAGTGGGGTGCACTTCATATCTGAGAGTCAAATAGAAGCGTCAAATAATGCGCTTACAGCGCAGTTTGAAACATTCTTATTTTCTGGGTGCTAATCTGCTAAATAGTAAATTTGGGCTCTGCTCTTCATATCTGAGAGTCAAATAGAAGCGTCAAATACTGCGCCAGTGGGGTAAATACCCGGGGGCGCAGGGGGCGTGGCTGCGACCGGGCCCAGCCCACTGGGCCAGCCTCTTTTTCTGGGGGGGCCCAGGAGCCGGCCACTGAGTGCTTCCTCTTCAGCTCCCTCGCGCACCACACTGATACCGGAACCGGATGATGAGAGTGCTCCCTCGCACGCCTGCTCGCGTGCCTGCCCGCAGGACCGGCCACCCAGGAGCCCAGCAGCACCACTGGACCCCAGTGAATCCCCTCAGCTCTCCAAAATGTAAGGAGGCAGGGGAGATTAAAAAAAAAAAAAAAAAAAGTGTGTGTGTCTGCTAGTGAGTGTCAGTGAGTGTGTTATTGTGTGTCTGTTACTGAGTGTGTTTGATGTCTGTTAGTGAGTGTGTGTTTGTCAGTGAGTATGTATGTCTGTCGCTGAATGTGTCTCTGTCAGTAAATGTGTGTGTCTGTTAGCTAGTGTGTATGCGTCTGTTCGTGAGAGTGTGTGTGTCTTCAGCATTTACCTTTCTCAAGCGCCGGACTCCCTTGGCGCTGGGGATCCCTCCGCCTCTCAGCTCTGAATGCACATGTGCGGCAAGAGGCGCGCGCGCGCATTCAAACCGCCCATAGGAAAGCATTACTCAAAGCTTTCCTTTGGACGTTCAGTGTCTTCTCACTGTGATTTTCACAGTGAGAATCGGGGAAGCTTCTCTAGCGGTTGTTAATGAGACAGCCACTAGAGGCTGGATTAAGCCTCAGTGAAACATAGCCGTTTCACTGAAACGGCTATGTTTTCAGCTGCAGGGTTAAAACTAGAGGGACCTGGCACCCAGACCACTTCATTGAGCTGATGTGATCTGGGTGTCTGTAGTGGTCCTTTAAGTGTGTGTGCATACCGCGGTTGCAGGGGTCGCAGGGGTCTCAGCCCTGCGACCAGGTGCCCACCGCCATGTGTTGCGGCCCCGACCGCGCCGACTGAGCGCAGGGGGGGGGCCCATGGATCAATTTTCGCACCGGGGCCCCATTGGTCATGTGTACGCCACTGTACTGCGCTTACAGCGCAGTTGTAAAAATTCTAATTGTTTTGGTGCTAAGCTGCTAAATAGTAAATTTGGGGCATGCGCTTCATATCTGAGAGTCAAATAGAAGCATCAAATAGTGCAGTTACAGCGCATTTTAAAACATTCTTATTTTCTGGTTGCTAATCTGCTAAATCGTACATTTGGGCCCTGCTCTTCATATCTGAGAGTCAAATAGAAGCATCCAATAGTGCTGTGACATAGCATTTTTAAACATTCACATTTTTGGCTGCTAAATAGTACATGTGCGGCCTGCGGTGCACTTCATAACTGAGAGTCAAGTAGAACCGCCAAATACTGTGCTTTTAGCGCACTTTGAAAAATTGTTTTGGGTGATAAAAAGTAAATTTGGGGTGTGCACTTCATATCTGACAGTCAAATAGAAGCATCAAATACTGTGGTTACAGCGCAGTTTGACCAATTCACATTTTTTGGGGTGCTAAATAGTACATTTGCGGCCTGCACTTATCTGATAGTCAAATAGAACCGTCAAATACCAATATAACAATATTGTAATTCGGGGACAATTCCCTCACAAGTCAAACTGAGGGGTCAGTTTATAGGGAAAACTGTTGCCTAGATACAATTCTAAAACAATTTCCATATGTCCTTTGCAGACTTTACATGCTGGAAAAACACAGGTGCCAACTGCTGTGGCTTTCTGCAGTGTGCAGACCGGCAAGGAGGGCAGGGTTGAGGAGTGGGTGGAAGATGATGTGGAGGATGATGAGGTCCTAAACCCCACATGGAATCAAGGTCATGCGAGTGACGTGTGCAGTTTGGAGGAAGAGGCGCTGGTCACACAGAGACACATGCACAACATAAGAGAGACCTAGGTGCAAAAGCGGAGTGGCCATCCCCTAGCGCTCGTCGGCATGTTTTATCTTTAGAATTCCCACAGTTATCAAAGTAACAGATGGAGCTATAAAAGGAGCCATTCGCAGTTTCGCAATCCGGTGACCGGGACCCAGACACTGTCTGGGTAGAGGTCGGACGACCGGGACCCATTATGCCTGATGTTGAAGTTAGGAGTCACAGTGTGGAATGGATTAGCAGGGTCTGGTGCAGGGTAACCGCACGCCGCCTGGTGTTGAGCACCAGTGTTTGTGCGGCTATATACCAGGACCCTGATGCAGCTTCAGTAAAAAGAGTACTGGATACCAGAAGCCATCACCAGACTGATCCGCAACTTGGAACAGGATGTGACATTTACTGTAGCGGCTGTGCACGCTTTCGGCTTTCTCACCCTGCTGCTGCTCGCTTGTCTGTGCTGCAGCGTAACTTTGGCTTTCCCGCTCACCGTCTGATATGTGACGTGCCCACAAGGTGGAACTCCACCTTGCACATGCTGGAGAGACTGTGCGAGCAGCAGCAGGCGATAGTGGAGTTTCAGCTGCAGCACGCACAGGTCAGTCGTTCTGCACCAGACTTACCCTGCAATTGATCAGAGTTAAAGGATTTCAAGTGGACTCTTTACAATTACAGGGCCTCTAAAGAGTCCTGTATTGTTATTTGTCGTCACTACCTTCCCGCGTCGGGAGTGGGCCATTTGCACATCTGCTGCCTTCCTTGCATGTGGTAGCCGTTTTTCAGGCTCCCTCTCCGGAATTGAACCCTGATTCCCCGTTACCCATTGTCACTATGGTAGGCACAGTAAATGGCATTGAAAGTTGATATGTATGACATACGAATGTGTCGTCGTCTTGTCGTTGGGGAGCCCATTGAAAAAGTGCTCTAGCATGGGTGATCTCCTCTGGGA